TCGTTTGGTGTGTGTGTGTGCGTGTGTGCGCAGTGTGTGTGCGTAGTGTGTGTGTTGTGTGTGGTGTGTGTGTGGGTGTGTGTGTGTGTGTGTGTGTGGTGTGTGTGTGGTGGTGTGTGTGTGTTGTGTGTGTGTTGTGTTGTGGTGCTGTGTGTGTTGTGCTGTGTGTGTGTTTGTGTGTGTGTGTGTGGTGTTGTGTGCGTTCTGCGAGCGGCGTGTACGAGAGGTGCAAGATAAGAGATGAATAGCACCAAGAACACAAGTTCGATTTTTTTTCGAAACCCCGAGTGCTTCGTTCTGCCGAAATTAAATATTCATGAATGCTAGGCTTTTATTTATTTAAACAGAATCGGATAATTTTATCGGGGAACTTTCCACTGTCGTAATTATCATCAATTTTTAAAACTGATAATTGCATTTAGGGATTACAATAGTTTAGCGCGGTTACTGTGCCAACCACATATGCGTCTGGCCTATATAGTCTTTGCATAATCGTGGTTATGATCAATGATCAGCCAAGCCATTGTAGAAACGTACACGAGTACAGCTCTGAATTAAGTAGTTTCATTATTTGTTATAGTTGACGTAACGTAACGTTCACCAATTTTCGTTCGCTATGAGTGAAGCTTAGCCGGAGGTGCGAGATACCCGGGCGCACTCACACGCAAGCCGCCCTGATCGATCACCGGCCGGCATGGAGAGAGAGAGAAAAGAGGAGAAGAGAGAGAGAGAGAGGAGAGAGAGAGAGAGAGAGAAGGAGAGAGAGGAGAGAGAGAGAGAGAGAGAGAGAGAGAGAAGAGAGAGCAGAGAGAAGAGAGAGAGAGAGCTGCGCCAGCGAGAGAGAGAGAGAGAGAGAGAGAGAGAGAGAGAGAGAGAGAGAGAGAGAGAGAGAGAGAGAGAGAGAGAGAGAGAGAGAGAGAGAGAGAGGGAGGAGAGAGGGTGCAGAAAAACATTCATTTCTACGGGTTTAACTTCGTACGTAGTTGTTAGCTAAAAGAAACCTCTTCCTCGTGACATATATTATATACTATTTCGCCAATACAAGCTTCTTTTCCTGCTTCTCGATTGCATTATTCCAAAGTATAATTGTGCTGTAATAATTAGTATCATTTAAATGTGGTTAATAGATAATAAATTTTCGGATCACACTTTTCTGTACTACGTATATTATACGGTCCGAAGTATTCCATCCGGGATTTGATCCAGACTGATAATAAAATCAGGATTCGGCATATTTTTTCAAAATTGTAATTATGAAATTTCTGCACAGTTCTGTTTTGATGTCAATATACTCGACACTCGATATAATACTCGTGCCTAGTGATGCACAGGTGGCCACTGAACTATTATTACATAATTTAAATAGCAATTAGAATTATTGATATTTGGGAATTGCTCATCAATCATTCACGCTCGACGCGATGTGATCTCTTACGATGAAGCATTTCGTTTTTACATTTTTAAGTTGCTTACGTCATCCGGTTGCAGGTGGGACCATGCGGTCAGTCCTGCAGCGGAACGGAGATGGGCAAACACATTAGGCGAGGTGCGAGATACCCGGCGCACTCACACGCAACCGCCTTGATCGATCACCGGCCGGCATGGAGAGACAGAGATAGAGAGAGCCGAGAGAGAGAGGGAGGTAGAGAGAGAGAGAGAGAATGAGGAGAGAGAGAGAGAGAGAGAGAGAGAGAGAGAAGAGAGAGAGAGAGAAGCAGAGAGCGAGAGCGAGAGGCGAGAAGGGGTGGGGGTATAGTGGCATCCTGCGGATTACTGGGACATTTATATGGACCGTATTACGACGCAGCCCGACAGTGAGCTCCGATCGCATGCCGCCGCCGCTCCAGCTGCTGGTGATGTGTGTCCCACATATGCGGCAAGGTTGCTGCTCCTCGCCTCATCCATCATGCTCTCTCTCTCTCTCTCTCTCTCTCAGCCCGACTGCCGATTGACAGACAGAGTTGACTCAGGGCGGAGCGGGAGAGCGATAGGAACCGTAAAACCGCTGTGTTAAACGCTGGCGGTACAGCTCTGACACTGCCAGCGGGAAGACGCCGTGAGCTGCGGACGCGGGTGTGCGTGGTCTCAGCCTCCTCTCTATCTGTCTACTGAACAGACAGACGTACAGTGGTGCAGTGATTGCGAACAGATTTCGTATCTCCGCGTCTACCACACAAAAACTGACTACTATGAGAGAGAGCGCGAGCTCCCGTGTATGCGCCGATGCTAAAAATTCCGGTGCAGGCAAATAAACACGGCAGTAGTATTCGCGAGTTCATGAAGCCTGCAAGATAGGCGACTTGTGGGGAAAAAAGCGCGCGCAGTTCTCAATTTGCATGATTTCGATGCGCTGCGCTAGGCGAGGTTTATAAAAGCACGTACAAATCCAGAACCTTGTGTTTGTCAATTTTAATTAATTTTTTCAGTTGTTTGAACCAACGTCGCGACAAACTAGTTATTTCGAAGGCGGGGTAGGCAATCTAGCTTGCTTAGAATCTGAATCGCACAGCTAATGTCGTCTAGTATTACTCCAACGCTGTCCCGTATGAAATTTGCTGACGCGAGCTACGGAAACGCGAACGGAAACGGAAACGGAAACGCGAAACGCAAACTAGTCTGGAATACAGAAGTATTGGTTTAATTCCTGAGTGGTGAGAGAAGCCTAATAATCTACAACATACAAAGGAGATGTTGTTAACAAATGTGAGTGATAGTTGGCCGGCATGGAGAAGCTTATAACAATATATACCGCATAGGATGAGTATATCCAAAGCTCACGTCAAGGTATGTGACGGTGCTGGCATAGTTTGAACCGTGTATATATACAGTCCATCGGTATAGCTTTCAGTTGCGAATAAATGAATGGCGCACGTATTTCACCGAGTTTGTGAGCAGTAACACACAGTTTACGCGTACAAATATTGCATAATTTAGGAGCAAATCTTGCAAGTGAACTTGTAGTTCTACTTCTTCTTCTACTCTCCAATTACACGGTAATCACAATATAAAATGTGCGCTCTTGAGCTTAGAACAGCTTTTAATATGTATGTTATGGTGTGTGCTGTCAGCACTTTGTGACTTGATAAACTGCAAGGTCATTAGGTGCAATATGAGCCCATGTCGATTTCATTCTGAACAATCACAACACTCCCCCCCCCCGATATCTATCATTTTTTCAGGCTGGCACAAATCGTTGTATACGTTTTTTATCGGAGCACTCGTATATCGTGTGATATATATATTATAACCGCGATCTAATAGTTTGTCTGGCTTAAATGTATATGTTGTGTGAGGAGCAGGCTTAGATGTTTTCAAAGGCATGGAAAAAGTTATAAATTATTTTAGGTTGGCGGCACACGCACAATATTTCTCTACAGCTATTGACATTTGAAACTGCACTGTGTGTGTGTTAGCTTTCACTGCTGCGAAAATATGCTGAAATTAATAAAGGACGATGTTTTCGCACGTGCAAGGCGGCTGGCATATGGGGTGGTGTTGCCATAGCAAGCGGCAAGGCCCAGGATTAACCGTGTGCCCCAAATTTTGATACGGACAACTACTATGTCTAAATTCCCATCGATGGGTTATCTGTCATAATTAATATTATTAATTTCTCTCACAATTTTAACCCAGCACACAATGTGAGATATTCAATGTAAATAATTGTTTATTGTGTTTCTTTTCGCTTTAGCCATGGACCGACAGTTTAAATAGTCCTACAAATTATTGTGTGGTGCATAATTTTCACCCATTCTTCATGTCTTTTAATGTATAGATAATATAATATCAGTAATGTGTCTGTTTTTCTAGTCCGTGTAAAATTAAATTGTCTCTTTTTATAGTGTTCAACGACGAAATGGGATACTCTGTGTGTTTTTTCATCCTGTTTTTGCAGACCAAGCTCTGCCTTGGATCTGTTTACTGTGATATAATATAGCGCATAGGTTTGTAAATAAACTATGAACTTTTGTAAATAAATGGAACGGACTTGGTCCTCCTTATACGATCATGGTGAACAGTTCTCTGATGTTTGCTGCTGGCGAAATGAGACCTCGACGTTCCACCTACACACTAGATACAAACGTTGAGCGAGAGAAGAGGAAAAGTCTGGTAGTGTATATATTCATTATCAAATTACTAAAGAGTTGTATCTTTTACCCTTTAATTTTTTTTTCAAAATATAATGTAAACGTATAAAAACAATATAATACTACGTTATGGTTTAACTGATACTGCTTCAAAATTAAAGAATGTGGAATGATAAAATGAAAATATCACAAACTAAATGAAACCTCAAATACATGCAAAAATATGCATAATATGTTGCATCATTTCGTTGGTAATCACGTTATAAAAATAAAACGGAAGGCATCCCAGAGTAAAATTATTTTTTCCTAACTTACTAAATTATATCTCACTAACCTGAATTAAGAGAGAGCTGTTGTTACCAAATTTAATTCTTTTCCTAATTGTGAAAATGAGATCCCTGAGTTACCCCTGGAAGAAGAGAAGATGCGATCGCAAAAGGCATAAAAAGCATGTAGAAAGCTAGAAAGCAAGACTATGCCAAGGAGGAAATTTTATAAAAAGCACGGATGTGGGCCAGGTTTCAGCTTGCGCGGCGTTATCTGCTCTTCTTCCAGAGAAAAACACATACATAACATACTTGTTGATACAAGTATTAGTGATAACCGATGTTGTTAAATTTCAATCAGACTAAACAAAAAATAGTAAATGATAAGGGAAAATAAGTCGGGGGAAAAAACGTAAATGTCGAAGGGCAAAACATGCTACTGCGATTTTCTTTCCAACAGGCGACGACGTAGCTAGCTGGCTTGTAGCTATTTGCATAAATTACTTTGGTATCATGCTGTCGATGCGCTTGCCCTGCTCCAGTGCTTTCTCCATCTTCACGAGCGTATCTACACCATCGATGACTGCCTGTACTAGCTGCACCTCACTCTTGCCAAGTCTGTCAGAATTGCTGATGTCGAAAATGCCACCAGTGGCAGCAGTGTCAACACCACCTGTGCCACGCTTTTGCAACCTTAGCTTCTCCAGGATACTATTGAAGCGTTGATCCTGAGAACGATGAGCAAGACATGTTACGTTGCACACTGATCGGTCGGTAACAGATGTAAGAGGCAAAACTTGATTGACGGTATTTTTGTCAAGTACTGTGAAATATTAATGGATGCAAGAGGTGAAAAATTATTGCCGATAGTTTTGTAAATTACTGTAACATTATTCGCTCTTGTGACACAGAGAAATGAGTGGCTCATTTTGTAGTCACTTTAATAATTTTATGGAGTAATATTTGTATGAACATGAAAGGACATTGAAGAAAAATTAAGCACACTGGCTAAAACTATAGGCCTACTAGTACAAGAAGATGTCACCATACCTGGCTGAGTCTAGGTAGTTTGACATGAACACCTGCACGCAGACCTGTACCCAGGTTACTGGGGCAGGTCAGGATGTAGCCAAGGTGCTCATTCCACATAAATTCGTAGCCCTTAGATTTGATCAATCTCTCTACCTAAATGGGAAATTTAGTTATGTAGTGATTGATTTATCTATTTGATAATAATTATCCATTCATGGCGTCACTGGAATCATGGCCTGCGTGGGCAAGCTAGGCACCTAATTGCATCAACAAATGGTAATTGTCATAATGCATATGGTCTGTACCGTTATGATGCATTTATATAGCCCGGCAGAGGGTAACACAATTTACGCATTCAGTCAGGGATCACACACCTGCTGCTGTCTACAGCAGCAGTGGCATGAGCATTAGGAGCAACGGAAGCAAAACCAGCAGTGATAACATCAACAAAAACAGGGGTGTTTGCACTGATAATAAACGAAAGCCTATACCTCCTGCAGTCCTCGGCTGAACCGCTCAAAGACTGCCCTCATGTTGCCGCCTTTCTCCATGGATATAACGCGGGTGTGGTCCTCCTCGTTCACCCATACAAGGAAGTTCTTGGAATTGTTGTGCCAGATTCCACGGGCATCTGGCCAGTCACGCGCCATTCCTGCACAGGTGAGCAGTGGAGATACGGGCTTGTCAAAGAGGAAGTGGTCCTGGAAGACAGGTGAAATAACCATAATCTTTCTTGGACGGTTAATTCTGTATTCCAGTCTTCACTTATGTGAGCCGTTTGAAAACGAGTGTTTTACAGCGAAACAAAGTGATTTTTCTTACATCAATCAGTTTGTCTTGCTCTGCGTCGGTCATGTTATTCAGTGGGTAGTACTTTCCCTGCAGATCTCCACTCAGGCCATTAAGGGCATCGGATACAACCCTCTCTACTTCGCGTCGCTCTGCGCGGTCGCATGCCGGTGGCAGAGAGAGGCCACGGATGCTACGACCAGTACGCACACGAGCTGACAGCACATAGTTAGAATCTAGCTGACCGCCACGAATCTGTAAGCACCAAGTTATGTCAGGGAAGCATGTGCAAGCATCATGTGCTGTCTAAACCCCCATACAGTGTGCCATGGTAATGTAGCGTTGAAGTTACACCAAGATTTAAATGAAATAATTTAGAGTAAAATAATCAAAGACGAAGTATAAATTTTGTGTTCACTAAAAGAATATATTGTTTACAAATCATACAGGTCTCTACACGGTACACGCTAATACTCAGAATCCCAGATTCGAACCCCTCCTGCTCTTCAAATTTCTATTTATATGCAAACTCTCCACCAATCATACTCATTTCCAAATTCTCCTCGACCAATCACACACAACTGCCTATAACGCTTTGTCTACTCAAAACACCCGCCATAACCCTGAGAACAATATATATATATATATATATATATATATATTGTTCTCAGCCGCCATAACCCCCGCCATGACCCCCGCCATAACCCTGAGAACAATATATATATATATATATATATATTGTTCTCAGTCAGTTGGTTGTTAATATATATATATATATATATATTGTTCTCAGCCGCCATAACCCCCGCCATAACCATGAGAACAATATATATTGTTCTCAGCCATAACCCACATATCGAACACCCGATCTGCAGCCCTGTCTAGACTAATATTCCTTAAAACTAACACGCGTCTACATCGCACACGCAACGTACTATTTGTAACCTACATGCTAACTACTGCACCTAACCCAACCCAGGCTAATTTCAGCCAAATCTAGCTACACTTACTACTTTATGTAAACATCTGTAAAACACATGTTACAGTAACACACTATGGTAATTAAATATAAAGAGAGGGAGAAGGAGCAGGAATGAGAACGAGAGATAGAGACAGAGAGATATGCATATGTATCAGGAGTAGATAATAGGGATCTATTATCTATTATCTACTCCTGATATGTATACATTTAAAAACATTTCTCCATCTTATAATCATACTTAACATTTAAAATAGACAATATATATCAATAAAAGATCAATGTACAAAAAAATAATGTTGGTCAAGTATCAACATGTACCAAATAACAAACCATCCCGATTATATTTACGAAGGCACAAATGCTAAGCTTTATAGTTAGGTAGGTATGTTTTCTTACTGACAGCTGCGGTAATGTGAATTTTATCTACCAAAATGTCATGTTGCATGCTCCACATATACGTTACGAACATGATTATTACACAAAATATTGTGTATAGTTATTGAACTTCCTTGTATACCTTTCTGTAGTCAATGTCAGTTGGATGCTTGGCGTCTGGACCATATCCTCCATGTCTGTCATCAATCACCTTGTCTAGAAGGTCTGCAAACACCTAGTAAACATGTTTTACAATCAGTGATAATTTTTCATTCGTTGAATTTCGTTAACAGACACCCAGGATTCTTCCCAGACCTTTAATACATGTCGGGTATGACATGCCTTCAAAATTAAAGCTAATATGTAACATCTCGTCTCCAACATGCCTTTATTTCCTAATCTTCATGCAGCTGTGTTTACTTCTGACAACCCCAACACAGTCATGCTGTTTCCTTACAGCTTGATGTATACATCTCCAAACTGATCGAGTTTACCTGTGTCTTGGGGCCACTTATTATATACATAATCGACCTGAATTGGTACAAGCCCCTCTTGGACACTCCCCCCATTCTTTCATAAGTGACATGCCTTGTGAAATTCCTTGGGAGAATCCTTGACACGATTACATATTATCAGGGGTTAATAATGACAAATTGTCATTATTAATATTAACCCCTGGTATCATATTATAGGAATAGCATCAGTGTAACATGTATTTAGACTTGTACTTTGAATGTTTATATCAAAAATTGATCTATTCACATTAATGAAACCAGAAAAACAGTTTGCTTTGTGAATATTTTGGGGTAGGGTTATTTCCCACGATGGGACCTTTCTTGTCAGCAATCAACTTTAATGGTACATTGCTTAGTACCCATACTAGTGTTCAGACTACTGCATATTTCTTATTATGCGTGTTTGTCAGATCCATACTTTGATTTGTCAGATGTGCAATTTCCTTATGGCGAATTAAAAAGAATGTCATAGTTGGCATCAGTACGTAAGTTCCTGTTGAGCACAGTTAAAATGACACTGTAATCAGTCTTGTGGTATATATATGAATTATTGTACATCACAATAATCCTGTATTTGGTTATATAATACAAATGCATGTGCACACCTCATATGTCTCTTCATCACCAGCAACACAACCAACGGTGTAAATGAATGGATGTCCTGGGTTATCAATGCCTGTCTGTATGACACCATCTAGTGTAAAGCCATTGGGTGTTCTTTTATCACACAATTTGGCATAGACCTAAAGCAAAATATGCATATCAATTATCAAAGATTAAATATTTCAATATTTTGAAATAAGATTGATTGCTTACATATTATAAATGTATATTTGTCACTTTTGGCAATAATTATAAATTCTAAACTTATATACTTTTACAGATTAAACTATATTAGTATTTATAATTTTTTGCTAACAAGATATAATAAATTACAGTTAGGTTAGATTAGCTCATAGGGACTATGTCCCCCAGGGTACTACCGGAACGTACCCTGGTCTTGTCGCAAGGTAACTGAGGACGTACCCTGGTAACTTTTGATTATGGTTACAAATGTGCTCCGAAATTAAGTCGTTGTCTGGTTGTCGAAGACAACCAGTAATTTGCGCGCGGACACCTACACCAGTTTGAGAATTGTCCGGTGGGACACCAAGAAAAATTGACGAAAACGGTCACATTATATTTATGTTTTTCTCGAGGGTTTCCAAGAGCACTTAGTAGCCTCGGCGGGAACGCTATAATCTATGGGTGTGAGGGAGAGGCGACGTATACCCGAGCTGCTATCTGGTGCCAACACTGTGGCAGGAGTTTTCTGATTTATGAGGAGTGAACTGCGATTATTGGAAACCACAAACACGCAAGTTCACCCACTACATTTTGGTATTTTGGCTTCACTATTATTTTGTGAATTTTCGCGATGGCGTAATTTGCCGCATGCATAACAACACAGTGGATCAATGTTGATACTGAAAAGATTAAAAAAAGAGATTGTCGTAGTCAGATAGAAGCTGTAGCAATGTACTGCAAAGGTGCCGCAGAATACCATCTCCTGGCGAATCTACATTTTCAAGAATTTTCTGGGGGAGGACCCGCCATACCCCCCTTGTTTTTTCACGAACCTCCTGGAACTCTAAGATCCGTCACTGAACAATTACACTAGAAGAGGAGATCGTTTGGGAGCAAGCACAATTGAACAAAAATGTTGCTTTTGGCAATGCACACTCAAAGCAAAAGATTGCAGAGAGAAGGTAGAGGACCGTAGGGTGTGGAGAGGGAGGCAAGAGGAGCATTAAATATTAAGTTCATTCATATTTTGCGCAGTTCGCTGTTTATTGGCCCGGCCTATCCCCCCGCCCCCCACAAACCTTCGCTTGCAAAAACTCTGGTAAATACAGTGAGTTTTGGGTGTTTTTATAGACCATACTTATTATGTGAATTGGAAAATAAGAGATTTTGGGATAATTATTTTGGGCAAGACAGAATTTGCTTGCGGAAACAACGTCCGCTTTGATGCCTGGGTTGTCAGCAGGACAACCGACATTTTTTTTGTTTCCATCTTCGACAGCAGTGGTTAGGGTTAAGGGTTTAGGGTTATGGGTTAGGTTAGGGAGTAGGCGTAGGCCGACTCCCTACTCGTTAAGATGGGATGGTAGGCGAGTAGGCTGCCGGCATACGTTAGATAGTACCATAAAAGGGTAGGGGTCCGGATAGTACCCCTGGGGAATAGACGCCTCTCAGCGTTAAGATTATGCTTCGTAGGTTTAATGTCCCCGCTGACCTCGTGTTTGCACTGGGCTCGTTTACTATTTCTGAACTAAGCCTAACCCTAACCTAATATACATATAATATCTTATATAATATATATAGTATATATAGTAATATAATAAGTATATTAAGTCAGAATATATACTGTCATATATAATAGACCCCCATAGACCTTATCTGCGTTAGATTAGGGTAAATATTAGACTGGGGTTAGGCTACCCATTAGGATTAAAAAAGGTCTAACTTGGGTAACACAGTAGGAATACTGAAAACTAGTTACTTACTTCAGGGCTAAGGTGTTTTGCCATGCAATTGTGGTGCTTTGAAAGATCAGGGAAGTTGGCACTTGGGGGGTATAACCTGCGCACAGGCCTACTATCTGCTAAGTGCTTCTCACGGGCCATATAATATCCAGCAACACCAGCCACAGCAAGGCCAGCAGCCGTGAGATAGTTGTTTCCTAGGTTCATCGTAAACAGCCGAGAGAATGCTGACATCTTAATAAATCTTCCTGAAAGTAGATATTAGAAGTAATATATTTAAGCCGCTAATTTAGAATTATTCTAGTAGTAATACTAATACTTAGCCAATTTTTTATCAGTCAAACAACCAGAAATCCCAACGGTCAACCTCAATCTAACCGTAAGCCCATAATTAATATCTGGGTCCTAAAGTAGGCTTGAATCTAATCTTACACTACAACCTCATAAATAATTGATGATGATTATGATTACAATTGATTATTACTAAGTCTAAAGTTAGACTCGCAGAGACACAGGTCTCATAACCTCATAAATATTAGTCTTCAATATCCAAGGAACTATATCGAAGACGGAATAAGACAATTGTTGATCAAATAGACAGATAAACATTCAGAAGCGCAGTAGAATAAGCCGCATATTTGCAATTTTTAAGGTTGAGAATTCCAATACGGAATGACAGAGACAAAGATTTTAAGCTGAAAGAGATCCTTTGATGATGGCACGTGTCGAAAATCAATGATCACGCTCAAATAATCGAGTGCAACAAACAGGCTTCATCAAACAAGAGGGAATGCCAATCTTCACATGACCATGGTAAATTTTATGTAAAGTTATAAGTTTAGCATGGAGTACCTACCCACTTAATTCTATCTCCGTCTTCGTTATAGTACCTAGGACTTTTGAAGACTAATATTTATGAGGTTATGAGGCGAAAGCGGACAGGAAGTCGAAGAGGACGCCTATCAAGTTGAGCCAAAACAACATCTTCATCACTGTCATGTATTGATAGTTTTTGGAAACCCATTATATCGCATCCAATTTAGAGCTGTTCTGGCGTGTATAGAGGCACCGACCTGGCGAAGCATATTCTAATATCATAATATTACCAATTTTAGGAATTTAGGAATTTAGGAATTTTAGGAATTTTACCAATAACAGATAAAATAGGATATAAAAAACTCATGCTACTACAATACATAGTTAAGCTAGATAACAATAGAGTAATTAAGAGAGTATTTATACAGCAGATCAAAGAGGAAGGAAAAAAATTGGGTAAATGAAATTTTAATAATCCTAAAGGAATACGAACTGGAAATATCATTTACAGCCATGGATTAAAACCAAAAAGAGCCTGGAAAAAACAAGTCAAAGATGCCATCTTAAAAAAAGAGTAATTATGAGAGACAAATTGAAAACTAGAGATAAAACAAAAATGAAGATGATAAACATTGAAATTAACATAAAGAGGACTTGGAACATTTATATAAATGTGATAGCTATAATAAATATAAGGATGGAGAACAAATAGAACTAGAAGGCTGGAGAGGGGACAACCACGGGTTATTGAAACCAGAGTTAGATTATGTGCGGAAAATTTTGTTGATTCGAAACACTAGGCCTAATATCTAGAGAATTAAAGGCGGCATTATAATCTCCTTTTTCTCTAGATAATCCCCGCACTTCGTTGAATCGAGTGCCTTGTAAAATACGAGAGGGAGCCAAGATACAATATACAAGATATATACAACTTATTACAAGATAATATGGGGAGAACCATGGAAAGCCAGGGACTGAGTTTTAAAGTCGCATGCGTTTTGAATTTTTGCGCGCATGCATTCATGCATCATGCATGCTAGATACAATAATAAATTAATATGTAACCCAAACACAGGATAGGGCCAACCCTAGCTCCAAGAAACGGTATTGCTAGGGTTACAATACCGTATAGACAATCCGTCGCACAGCCTGGTCGGGCTAAGGATACCCTATCCTGTGTTTGGGTTACATTATTGTATCTACAGACTTAATTTAGCTCTAGAACTATACTAGTCCGAGCCGACGCAGACCCCAGTAATGGATAAACCCGCACCCTCAGATTAGCAAAGCGGAGTTTACGTCTGCATTTGCGGACTAGAACTATACATGCATGCATTCACTCCTCGGCTCATTCTCATTACTATCAGTATACACTATATATAACGTGTAAGTATAGACTATAGAGTATAGTGAATAAAGTACTGCCGTACAGTCTAATATTTGTATAGAAATTTAAATAAAAATATATACCTTTAGCTTCTTTTATAAATTAGAATAACGATCGTCTCCTACTCTTTCGAATTCCCTGCACACACACCGACGCCTGAAGTAGAACGCACAGAGTAGTTGCCATGCAAACAGACATCACTTTCCCGTTGCCAAGCTACGCACTGTGACGTCACAGACTAACGGATACCAGCTATGATAGACTGGTACTCGCTCCCACCTCGATTACTCGATGGGATAATGGATGGGGCCTAAGCCGATAGGTGGGACCGGGTACCAGTCTACAGCTATGATAGCGGATACACACCACACTAGTAACTACACAGACTGGACACTTCGTCTACCTAGACTGGTACTCGCACCCACCTCGATTACTCGATGGTATCGATCCCCATCGAGTAACTAAGCCGAGAGGTGGGAGCGAGTACCAGTCTATTCGTATACCCTGCAGGTATACCACTGATCTATATATATCTATCATATTATAGAGATCAGTGAGGTATACCTGCAGCACTGATCTCTATAATATAATAATGATTATATTATAGAGATCAGTGACCTGCAGGAACTGCTTGTTAAGCGTTTCGATGGTGCAGCCCCTGGCGAATGAAGCGGTCAACTACTCAAAATGGCATCAGCTGGCGGTTATTGCAGTGCTGGAAATTGTTCCAATGGCAATACTACAAGGAAGAAAAACCCAGATATAGCGTTTTCCACAGATATATAAGAGCATGATAGCGAGGTACTAGATTGATCACGTGTTGCATGTTATATACGTTTGCAAATAATAAATTCGTTAGGACGGCAGTGACAGATGCAGTGCCAGTGACTCACTGACTGCTGTGCACACGAACAGAGACTGTAGGCCTACTTATTGATTGTTTAATCATATCAAGAGTAGATAATAACACATGTGTTATTATCTACTCTTGATCATATGTAATCATAATATCAATGTAAACTAATACAAGATACAATCTTATGAAGCTATTTAACAGTTAAAAGTTAGGGAAAACATTGATCAAGATGTACATAGACTTCGGAAGTGGATCTGCAATATAAGAAGAGCCGACATTGATGGGTTAAAAGACAGCCAATACAAATATCTGCTAATTTGCGAGGATCATTTTGAGGCATCTCAATTTATGTGTCCAGCTGACAAGGGTAAAAATCACTGGCTGCTTTGAAATATGATATGCTGTACCTATTTAAAAATATAACTATTATTAGTATGGGAAATTAGTAAAAAATCTTGCTTTCTCTGCTTCTCGTCGTGTGACTCATGAATGCCCCATTACTCGTTATACATGTACCAGGCTTGATTTCATCATAGATATATACAACACATATGTTGTATATATCTATGATTTCTTGAAATATACATAAACAGAAAAATACGTTTGAGAAATATTCACTGCTGGGCACTGAAGTATATCATTATTGCTTATGGCAATATCAAAACTATAAACCAACACATGCTGAATAATTTGGCTAATAAAAAATTCAAACTGTCTGTATTTTACCTTATTTTCCATAATTGTTCCACCTTTATTAAAAACACAAGGGCAAGTCAACAAATTTAAGAGGCTAAGAAAGGATGCAGTTCCATCTCTGATGGAAGTCAGTAACCCTCCTGCACTCCCAACTTAGAAACAAGCCGAATCGTAAATTGCTAATGCTCCAGCACTTTTGATTAAGCTTCTTAGCAATAAATGTGATCAATGGTATTTGAGTAAAAAATATGGAAATTATATCGTCTTTATTATTTTTATTGTTTGTAGAAAAAACAAACATCTTACAAAATCCGGTCACAGACTAAGGAATAAATTAAACTACAGACTGTAGCACAGTGTACATGTAGTACGTGTGCACACTACGCATTGTGACATGTGTATTGTGCATTAGTCTGTGATACGGTGTGGATGATCGTTTTGCATGTAAAAATAAATGTATAGCCGTTTAATAGAGCAAAATCTACTTGAAGACTAATATTTGACCTTCTAGATTCAGGAATGTATAGTTAAACTCCAGTCCAAATATTAAAATTAACGATAGAGACGTTTTAATGTTACAACGTTACACATCCACGGTCTGACCGTCTGTCACCACAGCCAGATTTTTAGTGTACCGCTTCATTCGCTGGGCGGCGCCACCATTCAATGGCATTACACTATTTTGGCGTTTCGAGTCTGTGTGTATCAGTATCACTGATCTCTATTATACTAATATAATATAATATAATGTATATAAGTGAGTATAAATTATATAATAGAGATCAGTGGTGTGTTACTGTGTATCCGTTAGTCAGTGGTGACCAAAGATCGTATAGTGCCGGAGGCACTATATACGATCTTTGGTGGTGACGGTGACGTTTTTTATTGTTAACGAAGTCGAAGAGCTTTATGGGATAGATGAATTTGAGGCCCGAATGGAGATTGTGGAGACCAGTATATATAGGTTTATGTACCTGTAAATAAATAATTACGGTAAATACTTATAAATAAAGTCCACATTGTCATTAATAATTATATTTTTAATTATTTTATGCCGTAAAATTGATAAAAGAGACTACGTACAGTAGTAATGTGTTCGCTTACTAATCCCCATTTGAGCATTAAACATCAATCATGGCGGCGTCCACATTGCATGTTGTTTACTTATTAATCCTTTTAAATTCCGTTGTAATTGAGTCTAAGAAAGCCGAGCAGTGTGATGTATCTAATATTCAGGTTACTACTCCCGATGGCGTGACGCAAGAAATTAAAATAGGCCATTTGAGATCCGTAGATCTTTGTGAAAACTGTGAAACGGACGCTTTTGGAGTCCGTGATAATTTTAATCACGATGTTGATGAAGCTGCACGAGTGCTTCTAGCGAGATTGCAATTTACCCTTCCTAACTTAGAAAGTCTGTTGAAGTCTGAGCAACCGTCTTTCTTTCACGCTTATTTATTCAGCGATGTATATCCCTCATGCACCAGTAAGTAGTTACTACTAAGTTAGTAGATGGTAATTTTAATGCAGCCAAACCACAACTTGGCAATTTTTATTTATTTATTTATTTAACGACAGTACATATGCTTGACAATGATTGTCCGAGATACATACTACTAGTACTAGCCTTTGCATTTTAGTGACCTGATCTCGTTGGGTAGTGGCAGATATGATATAATTATATAAGATAATGTTATACAGTCCTGTTAAATAGCTGGAGTGGATTCTCCCCATGCATTTAAAAGGCATGTCGTGTCGGGGTCACATGTCAACTCGACCGGCCGACAAACCCGCCCAGTGTGGCGAGTTCACTCGTCTGGAGGTGGGGCAGCTCATCTCGTAGGTCGAAATTACCTTCCTGGAGATCGGCCAGCTCGACTCGCTGGCTAACACGTTTATGGATGGATGGGTGGATAGCTAGATAGAAAGTCTGACAGACAGATAGATAGATAGCTAGATGGATAGATAGATAAATATATAGATAGATGTAAACATCAGTGTTTCCCCTGGCCAAAAACGTCAGCGAGGCGGTAAAATTATTTTTGGTGTTTGCGCAGTTCGAGAAGCGAGCAATGCGAGCACCAAAGGAAAATTTTTAAAAAAGGTGCAATTTGGTTCTAAGCTATTCTGAACACATTATATGAGACTCTTGGATCACTTTTTCAAGTTGCCAAAAGGAACAAACAAGCTTCTGGGAAAGGTTTTACTTTCGTTTTTCTCCTCCCCAGTACTCGGTTTTCTCCTCCCCTACCCCCATACATAGATCAATGCTGCCGCATATCCGCAAAGTTACAAGTGCCCAGAATCTTGAAGTATTTACAGTTTACATTGCTTCTAGACGTGATGCGGCCATGATGCCAAGGCGCGCCGAGGTACGCCGCACCTCTTTGTTAATTTCAAAGGTGGGGACCCATTGAGGTACGGAATCGCCGATCTCAAGAACTAGGGCATTTTGCTAGGCTAGAACGGTTTCCTACGATAGAGTTTGGCACAAAAACGAAAATAACACGTTGTTTAGCGCACTGCGGTACGTACCTTCTGTTGCATTTTCGCATCTTCGTAATCAGAATAAGGCCCGCCTTCTTCGTTGATGGGCATGAATGGGGCGTCACCGACGTGACCGTTTCCTTTCCCCAGCCTGTTTACTTTTCGTAAATAATGAAATGCCCGGCCGATGCATTTCGCATCGAACAGGAATATTTTCTGCATTTTCACTCGCTGTCGGAAGTGAACGAGTGTGTCATTTATTGAACAATTCAATAAAACACACACAATGTTCGGCGCTAATGTTTACATGCCACAGCGCCATCTCTTGGATGTTTTATAAGTAAATATGGGGATTTTCAAATCACCCCACTCACATCGCCGTTTTTATATACATGTATTTACCACAATTTACGTATAGAAACTATATGTTATTTTTACTGATTTCTCCGTATCTTTCCTTGGAGTTTTCATCGTCTTTCAATGGCTTTTCGTAGGGTTTTCTGCGGTGATTATTATTTTGCGCAGGCACCTCATTTTGAAAATCTTCCAACATTTTTACCTTCTTCCTTAGTTAAGTTAGTCCATCTTTCACTGTTATTTAGGAAGGAAAGGTAAAACTGTGGCATTCGTATAATTTCACTCTGCTTCTATAGTATGATTTCCATAATTTCTCTTTCTGCCAATGATAATATTTCCCTCATCATGAACCTAATTTTTCAGTTCGGACTCTTATCATATCGATTTGTTATAACCTCCTATATCATTAATTAAATCCCTAGGTATGAATATTTGGTGCATTTTTTTGATTACTTGGTTGCCTATTAATATCTCCTTCTCTAATCCTTTCTTTGTTTGTGAATTTTATAACCATTGTATTTGTTTTGTTCATATTAAAGTCTAATCTTTTGATTCAGCTAATCTGGAGAATGACTGAGCGATTTTTGTTACTGTTTTATAATCTCGCATTCCTACAATATCGTCAATATATAATCATTGCCATCTTCTAAAACTACAGACCATCTGCTGACCGCTGTGGAGACGTGCAGCGGCCTCGAATTTGGCCACGGTCTCCAATGCGGCGAGCGCTTCATACTTGAACATCCCCGCGTCGCGTGCGCATATCCGCGCGAACTGCGCGTCTCATCCGCGCGCAGCGCTTAGGATCAACAGCAAAGCTGTGCCACGCAATCTTGTATCATGTCTCTCTGGATATCTAACTGAATAAAAATAGTCTACTTTCTACGTAAAGAAAAGTGACGAATTCAGTTAAAACAGCTTTGATTACGTGCGTGTCAGGTGTCAGTGGTCGTGCCCTCACTACCCACGATAACCCCTGCGACATATGAACTTATTGTTATGCGCGCATAAAAACACTGGGCTACGGTACATGCCGCCGCAATCGATTTCTTAGACTGTCACGAGGTTTTGTTCGTGTGGCGAATCATGCGTTGAGGGTGTTCATGCCCTCGACTCTAGATGTTTTGGATACCCCGTCTACGTTCAGGAACGGAGCGTATTAGAATGCGCTCCCGTTTACAATTCTGTCTAAACTGCCGTTGCAATAACCGGAGTATTTCAGCGTAATATCAGGGGAAAAAGTGCCGGTCAGGAGGACGGGCAGTTTCGTAGAGATGGTGGCCGAAGGAAAAACTTGGTGGCCTCAGGCCTCCGGGTCGGCACTAATTTTGAACGCTGTCAATAAAGTGTAGTTTATTGATGGAAGAACCGTGATTTTCGTCAGCGAGGCGGTGTTTTTGGGTAAATTTCTATGTGGAGGCTGAGATTTCAATTAGCTCGTGTCAATGCAGGGGAAACACTGCACATAGAAACTTAAACAATTTGATCAATCTAGCTATACACATTTCCAAACGGTCCATGGATGGATGGAGTCGAGCTGCCGCGATCTCCAGGAGGGTAATTTCGACCTATCCGAGATGAAGGCTGTCCGCACCTGCCAGACGAGTGAGCTCGCCATAAAGCTGGCCGAGTTGGTGCGTGGGTCGAGTTGACCGGTGCCCTTCTCGGATCTGACGTGCCTTTCAAACCGGAAACTAATATGTGATATCTCATATGTCCTCCAATATGCCTTATTAATTGCCTAATGACATGCCTTAATTTTTAGCTGTGCATTTTGTAATAGTTATGTTCTTGTTTTTTTCAATATTGTCCTGTTGACTACATGAAAATAGAGTGCCTAAAATGGCATAGGTTTGTAAATTTTATAAAATATGTGTTAGGAGTGGATAAAAATCCTTTAGCCCTTGGGCCCTTCCTCATCCATATGAACTTCATAAGGAGAACCATGAGTAGGTTTTATCTTTTAGTGTTTTGCCTATTTAGCAGGTCTGAATTATCATTTTCAAGTAGTAGTGTATTGAAATCAATGCAAATCTTTAATTTGAATGATTTCTGTAAATGCTGATTTCAGTAAACTTGCTATTACTTTGTACTGGTGTTGGTCACTGTCATAAATGATTTGATTGTACATATTAAAAAAATATGGTATCATCCCAAGCAATATGTCTTTGTCAGTCTAGAACCGCTTTTTGAATCGCCAACCCCCAAAGCCATAAATATTCCAGTGACCTTTCCTCAAGCCTCATTGGTTACATATATAAATTATATACTAGTGTGATGACTTAACCATTTATTTTACATACACTTTGCATTGTGGGAGATGTCAATGTGTGCTAGTAGAATACAAATTTCAAGATTGGCATCACATTGTTGTTATATGCTATGTGTATATATATATACGTCTGCATGATACCATAGTATGAGTCCTAATAATAGAAAGGTAATGATAGTAAGTAAGGCTGATTTCATTTACTATGCCACAGGTTCAAATATATATGAAGCTTATATGAGACCACCCACCTAATGAACAAAAACCGAATGGTTTATTCACTGGGAGAGTAATAGTGATATCCTCAAGCTCAATGAGTCAATCAATTATCTATCAAACCCTGGGCGCAATTGCAAATGCTGCGTGAATTTCACTGGAATAATACCATTAACTCATTGTTGGCAGGTGCACATGCACTAAGCATTTGCAGCTCTACTTCTATGATAGATGGTCAATAATTAATAAAGATATAATTAGTATAATTATTTGTCAACTTTGCCCCAAGTGCTGTTGTGATTAACTGATAGACAGATCAATGTTGATTGTTTGAATATCATTAACGATTGGTCAATTTGTCTGCATAAGACAGATTGGTAAGGTTTTTGTTTGAAATTGACTCCTCAATTAGTCAGATAGCCTGCCATTAGACATATAGATCATAGCTAATTTAGACATAAACATGTATACTAAGTGAGATGCTCATTGTCATCTTGTGTTGAAACAAACGAATTCTCAGTTAATTTTATATAATGTCAGTTTCTGGACTGATGGTAGCATGTGTCCAGGTATAAAGCCCATTATTATTATAATTTGTTGTGTGGTGTAAAATTTAAAAGGTAAACTAGTTGAGTACCTATATAATATATGTAAATATTTTATTATAAACTCTGTTTGTACCTGTAGGCAATGTTGAGGAGAAACCGAATTCAGATTGCAGTCAAGCTTCAGATGATTTCATGCAAAACGAACAGTTGTCAACCCAAGTGCAGGTAACAGTATTCCTGTTAGACTTGCATCCATTTATTTTAATTCCAATAATATAGAGTGGAACTTATATTTTATATAAACAACCTTCCAATTTTTCTTAAATTGATATTCATTATTGAATTTTGCAGGAGTATGCAGACATTTTATGCTCAAAACAACAAATTCCTCTAGTGACAGGTGATGCAGAGATTGACAAGAAAATAGGTATGTATTAGTTACTACTGTGATGCATATTACTCTAACATATGCCTGTAATTTACATTTGACAGCAAAATGATTGCAGAGCAAATTACTGGTGGTATTGACTTACAAATGACTTATTGGTCAGAGCAAAACATGAACACTCATATGCAATTATATAAATGAGTCTACATAGCATACGTTGGTGTCTAATTTAAACATTCTTATGCAATTAAGGACATGCATGTGATGATATTATGCTTGGTTATTATTTTATTATTGGAGCAGAAGACAGGCATGTGAATGTGTAGTGCTGGTAGAACCATGTTATAGGTTCGAAATGATTTATAGAATAATATTATAAAAACAGCTATAAAATCTCTGAAGGGTCAAGAAGCAAGATCAGTATGCAATACGTAGTAAAGTAAATGTAAATGACTTACACTTAATAAACCAGAGGTAACCCTATGCATATTGTAATTGAAGTTAAATTTTAATTTATATTTTCCTCGCAGTACAATGTTTATGCTATGTTGATGTGTCTCGTTTCAGCCTATGCAACTGCTTTACTCAATTTGAAGTTTGTTGATGAAGCCATTAAGAATTTCACATCTATTCTAAAGGTAAGAAATCTTTCATGGGCATGGCATAGGTAAACTACTGGAACACTGTATTAAACAATCTTTGGGAAAATTGTATTGCACAGAATCGCTGTTGTAGGTACACCCAAATACAGCAAGTGCACACCATGGGCGTGGCATCTCGTTTGCTAGGAAATCTTTAAATCAGGACCGAGAGGCAGCAGTACATGCTATCAATGACTTTACAAGAGCCATTGACCTTGAGCCAAAAGCTGTAGATAGCTATGAGAGGAGGGCAGAGGTAAGACCTTTGAATATTTGTTAAAATTTCCGTCATAATCTTCCTTCATCAGGTTTTACTTTGTGTTGCAAGAATTAGTGTTTGGAAATTTTTCCAGCTGAATTTTTATTCCTGATCGTCTCTAGCCACATCTGTCGGCTACATATTATTTTACTCATCTTCGAAAGGTTCTGTCCATGATGGCGCAACATTATGAAGCAGTCGCAGATCTAGACACAGCCATACGCTTGAAGCCTGATGATAAACTTGCGAAGCTGTTCTTCCAACGAGGTCTTGAACATCTGTTCACTGAGGTAAACGATGAGGAATGGTGGTGAATTGGTTAGGGTTAGGGTTAGGGTTAGTAATATTAATATTAATATTGTAATTGTATCTGTATGTGTGTGCTACACATATATTTACTTGTCGTTACAGAACTTCACTGAGTCAGAATTGGATTTTCGGAGGTCACTAGCGGAAGAGGGAGAGCAGGCATATGTACTTTACTACCTAGGCGTTGTCCTGCAGAAACGAGGGGCATTTCGTGTACGATGTCACCCTATACTATTATGTTGTGGAACATTAGCACGCATACTAGCCTAAAAATCAGAACAGAGGCATTGTGTTACGATTCTGAATGTATGATCGATTAACCATGCAGTGATGGGATGATAGTTGACTGCATACTAAATACTTTAGCAGCCACTTCAAGGTTTAGCAGAATACATTATATATCTGCCATGATGATATGATTTACATGAGTTTTAATATGGAAATCAGTTAATTGGATGCTCACTACGTGCACCACTGTGTTGAATACACTGATTATAGTTAAATGCGTACAAACGTTGTCATTGCAAACAACTATTGCTTACTATAGAAATTTCAGTATTAATAACAATGTTCGTGTTATAAACATTGTCTTTGTATCTAAGGCTATCACTGATTCTTGTTGTCTCTTATCCTCTGTAGAATGCCACACGTGTCTTTGACGAAGCTCTTCAGTTGAATCCCAGCCACCTGGAGGTGCTTCTCGCACAAGGAAACTCATACAGGTTACTATTTGCAATATTGGCGTAGGTCGCGTAGGTAGCGTTCTAGATGTAAAACTGAGAAGCGAAAGGTGTGATCCCCACTTGTGAATTATGATATATGTTGTTCTCACTAAAGCATATTGGCTTGTTTGCCTCAGTTCATCAACACTAAAGAATGGTGATAGTGTTGTAAAGTGGGGGAGTTAATATGCAATGACATGCCTATGATGGCTGGCTGCCTCTACCTCAGACCTCTGTCTATGGCAGGTGAAACAGGGTTACTAGGTAACATCAGCCATAGGACCTACAAAGATAGAAATACTGTTAAAATTTAAAAGAAATTGCTTAGAATATGCCTTGTTTACTCGAACAAATCACATTTAATAACACTTGCAGCAGAAATGAAGCTGTTTTAATGGTAGAGTTCAATAACCAATAATTTTATTTCGTAGGGAGTTGGGAGATGTAAAGCGGTCACTCAAGGCATTTGACCAAGCCTACAGCCTACACCCTGACCGCTGGCCAACAGTGTTCTACCGTGGCCAAACACACTATAGCAGTGGTCAGTTACAATTAGCCTTACAGGACTTCAATGTAAGTTGTGTGCAATACACGAACTACAATGCCTAGTTCACAACATTGAAAATGTGTAGTGTATGTTAGTCTGCATACTTCCTCTGAAGTAGATGATCTCACAGACATCACGTTTTTTTGCAAGTGCAATCCATGTTGGGTAGTTCCTTACTCTAGAAACGACCTTGTAATTCCTAGATGAGGTCATAAGATATTTGATCATTTTTGGTCCATTGGATTTAATGATAGAAGCCAAAATCCACATGAGCATACAACACACCAATCTGTTACAAACACACCTGCTATTTCCTTGTTGTCTATATGTGTATTGTTTGTCGAATGCATAGTTGTGAGTGTTTGTTGTTCATTTGTCACAGCGCTGCGTGGAACTGGACTCGCAGAACATTAAGTGCGTCTACATGAAGGGCATCACACACAGCATGCTTGGACAATTCTACGAGAGTGTCAAGGCAGAATCCAACCTCATTGTGCATTCCCAGTACACCACTGGCAGGCTGAGCCCTGAGTTCCTTAAAGCACACTACTTAAAAGGTAAGGACAGGCTCGGCATGTTGTATCTCAACCGCATTTCCTCTGTCAGCACTCGAAAATTGTGTGGTTGGCTCCTCAATAGCGCTCATAGGGTCCATGTCCGCCAGGGTACTGCCGGAACATACTCTGGGTACGGTCCGGTATACCGGAACGTACCCTGGTAACTATCTGATATGGTTAGGGTTAGGGTTAGGGTTAGGGAGTAAGCGTAGGCGACCCCTAGACTCGTTAGTGGAGTAGGCGAGGTACGGTCCGTCATATTGGATAGTACCAGGGTACTTTCCGGTATACCGGACCGTACCCAGGGTACGTTCCTGCAGTACCCTGGGGGACATAGACCCTCTCAGCCTCAATAGCAATTGGGTAAAATCAATTATATTGACTCTGCATAAGTCACCACATTGTGGCCGTGATTACGTAAATAGCATACGTGTTTACAGAGACGTTTCGTTACTACCATCGTTTGTTGGATGAGCCACTGACAACTGTCAACCCAGACCGAGATTTCAGTGGGGAATTTCGGGAGAAGTGGTCGAAAACCTTGCCATTTCAATTCGAGGTGAGAACAATGTGCATAACACGATATTATTTGTTGTCATAGTTGTTTGGAAAAGTTATAAGCTAATTTGAAATGAACAGACTGAAGTATAGAGAGCACTATATCTGCACTGCAGCTGCTGTTAATGATAAATGTAGGTCAGTTATGAAAAATGAAGAACAGATTACACTTTAAACTATTTTTTATTTCAGGGTGCATATGCTGAACAGAAAGGAATTCAGCCCCATATCTTGTAAGTATAAGGTTTTTCATTAATACGACTGATTAGTAAATAGTTAAATGCAGTGCAGTAACCTGGGGAATAATTGTTTGCTATGCTACTGATTGCTGTGATTATCATTACGAAAATAATGCGTTCTAGAAAAAATACATTCATATTAAAATTGCGTTATGTGAATCACGTTGTCCAATTGACTTCTATTATATAGTTAGGCTCATAGGATTTATGTCCCCCAGGGTACTGCCGGAACGTACCCTGGGTCCTAACCCTGGTAACTATCTGATATGGTTAGGGTTAGGGAGTAGGTGTAAGCGACTCCCTAGACTCGTTAGTGGAGTAGGCGAGGTACGGTTCGGCATATGAGATAGTACCAGGGTACGTTCCGGTATACCGGACCGTACCCAGGGTACGTTCCGGCAGTACCCTGGGGGGACATAGACCCCCTCAGCTATAGTTAGGGATGCGGTCCCACGAAAACTTTTTTCGGCCAACACGGTTAGGTAATTCTCCAACATCAAGTAATGCAGGTACAATTATCCATGCAGGAAAACAATGGCGAACATATATATATATTGCCTATTTCATATGTAATGCAAGAAAGATGTTTCTAAATATGTACTTATATAATTAGTATCCTCTATCAAGAGTACACTGGATGTAGGGTACTGAATAATTGTGAATGCACAATTATGATAAGTTATCCACTGTATAAGTTTATCCATTTACAAATCTCTGGAAAATCATATAAGAGAGTTATACTTACTTTATCTATTTTATGTTATGTAATTGTTGTGTGTGCGTCATCGTGTATGTATGCGTATCTGTAACATTTTTGCTGGTGTTATGATGCAGACATCTGTTGCTTGTAGAGACGTAGTGGTGCCAACATTCGAGCAGCTTACCACACCTGAGCAGACGCTTCTTTGTCGAGCGGCTCTCATTGGTCAGCTCGGTCAGGTGACCGCTGATGGCTACATGCCACAGGAGAGGTTCAACATTGCCATGGGCCTGGCGGCCATTGACATCTCACAGAGTCTACAGGCGAGTTCTCCCAGTTTATTAGTTTGACCGCGTGCAAGATATCTGTGTGTAGGTGAATGAGAGATACACTTATTACATGAGTTTAGATGTGCGGGAATCGGGAGCAATTGCCTGAGTGTTCTTTTTTCATAAGGGTGTATGGTTATATCTGAATTTTACAGATAATTTTTATTGTGGATTAGGATCTCTTTTGTATTATTGAAACACGTTGATGTTTGATTTGGTAAACCTATTACAATAATTACCAATAGTTTTTAGAAATATCATTGCTACTTATTACCAGTCATGTTTACTCTTGTTTCTAATTCACTATATAGGGTTTGTGGAGCAGTAAAAAAAGTTTAAAAATTGGAGGTAAGTGTTAAATATATAAGTTAGCTAACAAATGTCTTGTGAATGAGAATACATTTACAGTAAGGTAACCAATATGATACTGCATTACAATGATTACATACAGTCGTATTCCCAAATAAAATACTATTATTATTATTGAGCTTGAGGTATAACTGTTTTTCCATGCTACAGATAAACGGGTGACATGGCGGGACATATTCAACATAGCTGTGAGCTATCGACGGTTAGCTCAGATGGAAGATCCCGTTTTCTGGTTGGATCAATTTCCAGAGAAGAGTTTCAACACTGGATTTAACTTCAATTTGGTTTTTATAAAGTACGATTCCATATGGACGATCATTTATGTTAAGATCATTGCCATTAAATATAGAATCCTTATGTCCAGTGTATAGGAATATAGAATCCTTATGTCCAGCGTATAGGAAAGCGGTGTGATAAGTAAGAAGGTAGCAGCGTGTCAGTAGAAAGGTAGCGTGTGGTCAGTAGAAGGTAGCGGTGTGGTCAGTAGAAGGTG